TTTCCCGCAAGTAGTATTTTCAATTTTTCTAGTCTTTCTAGCTTTTTTAAATATTCTTTATAATTCGTATTTGTGTCATTGTATTCATCCCTGACTTCATTGTATCGTTGCTTTGATTCATTACGTGTTAATCTATTCTGTATGTCTAGATAAAGATTACTAATTCGGTTATCAAGTTTATTCTTGCGTTGTTCAAGTTTATCCACCCTAGATTTGAACCACGTTTCATTTGATTTTAATACGTCCATCTCCGTTGTTAAATCAGCTCTGTCAGCATTCTGATAGTTATTTCCCGCAAGCAATATTTTCAATTTTTCTAGCCTTTCTAACTTTTTTAGATATTCTTTGTAATTCGTATTTGTATCATTGTATTCATCCTTGACTTCATCGTATTGTTGCTTTAATTCATCATGTGTAAAAGTCTGTTAGGATAGACAAATCGTTAGTTAATAAAAGATATAGAGTCAAAATTATCAATCTTTAAATAAAAATAACAATAATTAGATAAAAGAAGTAAATCTATTTATAAACTTAGGATCGTAAATGCATAAAGCCACCTTTTTCTGTTGCGCCTTCTATCTAGTATCACTTTAGACGGGATGGTTATTGCCTACTTACTTCACGCGAGAATATCTCAGATAAAGTGAAAGCCCTAAACATTCTAAAACCGGAGATGAAAAATGGAAGATGGTGCTGTTTGATAAAATTGTAATAATAATAACAATTTATTTCATTTATTTCGTTTCTATATTATCTTTAAAAGATAACCATATCCCGCTTCTAGGTACAGATAAGGCAGGTATCGTTCTGGTAAGTTTTACCAATATAGGAAATTTCACACTCCACCACTCAAAAGGACTATTTTTTTCATAATTCAATACCAGGTTTTGTAATTGTTAAAAAGTCGATTTAAGGAAGGCTAGGTTAAGGGTAAGGGAGTTGAGATCAAAATTATATAAGATTTCCTCTCCGACAATTTTTTATTAGTAGGTTTAAGCATTTTTTTGCTATTTGCGTTATGGAATTCATTCATTTTGATAATACCCTACCATTATAGAATATTACGCGATTCAATCGAAATCAAAAATTAGTATCATTACTAGGGTATGAAAAATTCTCAAATACGCGTACTTTTGTAAGTGGTCTCTTCCCACTTGAGAGTCTTCGATAATGCTTTTGCTTTTATTGAAAGTGAAAACGATTCTTTATTGTCTGCGTCTTTGATTTCCTATCCTGAGATTATCGTATTTCTTAATGCTGCATCCGATTGTTGAAGAGATTTCTGTATTATCCTCATTTTAAAGGGTGAAGAAGCAGATTCTGAATTCCACTGCCGCGTCAAATATAAGGATTACTTTTTTCTTGATTTCGCTCTCTTATTGTTATCACTCTCAATGTTCTCGTTCCCGTTCTCTTTGTTGTTGTCATTTTTATCTTAAACTGTGACGGTGGAATATCAAAGACTACAAGAGTTTGAGAAATTCCTATTCTTGCATTTTCGGTGGCGACTTGTGTGCATGTGGTTGTTTGGTTAGTTATTAAACGGTGGTAATAATTGTGGTTTTAGTGTCAGTAATTAGTTCATTAGAAAAGGAAAATGATATAGACAAAGTGAGATGGTCACTTTGGACATTCCAAGTCTTGCATGTTTGTGAAAAATAAGCTACTGATTAAATATAAAGATTTCAAAAATAGATTTTATATAAACCAATTGGATGGTTAAAATTAGATATCTTATAGGGAGGGGGTCTGCCACTATTAAAATTATATTTACGTAATATCTGTGCCTCGCCTAATCTAAACGTAACGGTAAAGGTTTTTGACATTAAACCCCTGGGGCTAACCCGATAAGCCATAACAATGTCTAAAGTGTGAGAAAAGAATAGTAATTCGCTTATCAAGTCTATCCTTACGGTCTTCAAGTTTATCCACCTGGATTTGAACCACATCTCATTTGATTTGAATACACGCATCTCCGTTGTTAAATCAACTCTGTCAGCGTTCTGATAGTTATGTCCCGCAAATAATATTTCCAATTTTTCTAGCCTTTCTAGCTTCTTTAAATATCCTTTATAATTCGAATTCTATGACCATAATAAAAGAAGTAAATCGGTAATGAAGTTAAACTCCCCACCTACTTACTACTTTTTACTCAAAAAACTACTTACTTTGACTTCTATTGAACACCAAAATGTATATTCCCGATTTGTTAAGATTAAATCTTTGCTAAAATTATTATGGTAACTAATTTTCGTTAACCGAGGTGTTTGGAAGTATATAATTTATTATTTATCTAAATATACAGATTACATGAAATACAGCACCCGGCGAAAGCTGGTGGACTTATGATTCAGTCCCTCCAAATTTTCGGCGTGCAACCGAGATTACAGTATATGTAGCATTTCAAAGCAGAGTCGGATTTGTTTGCCGGGTTGACCAAAATTTTGTGCATTCTGCACCTCTATTGGGTGGATAACACGTGTTCACCAATTGCTCGTTTGGCATAAAAATTTTGTATTAGAAAATATATATGTCGATTATAAACAAATAGAAACCACAGCATTGAATAAATATGAGACACAAAAGTTACTGGCATTTCATCTCCCAGATTGACGATATCGATATGCTATGACTGACATTTCAGAACAAGACAAGACTGTTCAACTTTTGTTCAAATACATGGGTTAACAACGATATAGATTTAGCCCATTTTTAGAATTTTTTTCCCAGTTACTAGCGCTAGATACACGTGATACTTCTACGCATCCCCTAATTTTGATAACTTTTGGCTAGTGTGGGATCAAACCCGCCGTATGATTGTTTTGTTCCCAAGGCTAACCCACAAAGGGAATGAAAAAAGAAATATTATGTATCGCCATAAGACAATGAATGAAACTCCAGGTGATTGTAGCAACCTGAATCGCCATTGTAAAAAGAATGGAGATTTTAAAATGATTTATTGTCTTCAATCCTAAACTATTTATATATGCAAATATTTTTTTGCGATTTTTAGATCGATTTGAATCACGTCACATTTGATTTCAATACATTACCATTTTGAAAATAATGTATATTGATGAAGAGCCAAAATAATCAATCTGTGATTTCAAATTGATTTCAATGATGACAGTAAAAGATGTGCACGAGATAGTAAAAGATGTGCACGATACACCTCCCGCTTAAATCTATTTTGGCAAATGATTTTTTCCTTGGGAATTGGCCCAATTAGTATTTATTCAACAAAACGATAAGCATACAAAAATACTATCATAAATATATAAAAAGCCACCTTTTCCCTCTGTTGCGAATTAGACGCCATCTAGTGTTAGTGTTACTTTGCTAAAAAAAAAATTTGATTTGCTAAAAAACATCTGCTACAATTCCGGTTTTAGATATCGAATGTCAACTGACTTTAACCTTGAACTTGCATCGATACTTGATGGCAAGGCCTCTATTGAACACCAAATAGATATTCACGGTGTGTTTAACGTCAAAAAAACCTAATATTGATAAAATAATAAAATCATAATAATAATAATAATAAATTTTCCCGAAATATGTTTTATCATTTATTATTTATTACTTATTGCTTATTGCTTATTGTTATATAGTTAATGATCTTTTTGACGTAAAAGAAAATGACCAATTTCCGTTAACTGACGTGTTAGCCGGGTTACGTTATGTCATGAACTACCGTCTAAAAGGAGGCAGGCTTCCAAATTTGGATCCTGACCTAATGAAACGTTTATGTGAAGGCTTGTTACTGAATATGTCTGATACTGTGGGTGGGTTGTTGAAGAAGAAACTGACACCCGAGGCTGACGAAGCGTTTATCCTTTTTGGAGAATTTTTGGAAGAAGGTAATTAAGAGAATGAATTAATGATTATATTCCTCATGCACATTTTTGAGAATTGTTTCGGAATGCAAATAATTGTTGTTGATTTATGCAGTCGAAGAGTTTCGCCAAGCAGTTGACCAAAAAAATGTATCTGATCTTGCCAATGCCATGAAACTTCACCGTCGTTGTCGTAACGACGCGTCACCAGTAGTAAGACAGGCCGCCGTAGCAATCATTTACATGTTAACTGAATGGTTTCCACAGTTCTCTGATTGGCGGGAGTTAGTCAAACGCGAGGAACAAAATGATGTCGAGAAGGTGATCAAAGAATTATCAACCACTTTAAAAAAGGCGAAAATGCCGCACCGTAAAGGCGTTCCCTTACCTCCTCCTTGTATGTATGCTTACAGTATATATGATCATTACCGTTTAGGATTGATGTATAACAAATACTTGATTTTTTTTTCGTCAGCATTATATTTCGATCGTGATGTCATTCGCTGCGTAAAAATGTTTCGAACGTCTCTCACCGACGGACTTTCCTCAGCTAATATCTCGTCGTTTTTAGAATACTATGGCCCAAACAAGTTACCTGATCCACCAAAACCGTCTATTCTCAAAATGTTAATTCATCAATTAACCGATTTCATGGTTTTGATTTTACTAGCGGCGACAATTGTCACCGGGGCGGAAAAGGATTTTAAAGGGATGTCGGTTTTATTGGTGGTTATCGTTTTAAATACGATAATTGGATTCACGCAAGAGTATAAGGCGAATAAAGCATTAGAAGCGCTTTCTAAATTGGCCGTACCTCAGGTATATTGTATATATTTATATTGATCATAATAAGATTCATTAAGTCAATATTCTTTTCTCTAAATATACTGATCTTAATAATTTATATAGGCACAAATTATTCGTGATGGTCAGAAAGTTGTGATTGACTCATCGCTACTTGTTCCCGGGGATATTGTAATTCTTGAAGAAGGAGATTCTGTTCCTGCAGATGTCCGAATAGTAGAATGCTCTCATTTTGAAGTGATAGAATCAATATTAACCGGAGAGAGTTTGCCTGTGTCTAAAAACACCAAAAAAATTTGGACCAGGGTAATTAAATAAGTATGACATTCAGCACTAAATTGTTTGTGCTATAATTTACGAAGAAATTCCCCCTCTTGAAATCATACATATATGCATTATGTAGACACGAAGTTTACCTCTGGGTGATTGTAAAGGAAATGCATTCATGTCTACTATGGTGGCAAAAGGCCGTGCTAAAGGCCTTGTTGTACGAACCGGAAGTAACACCGAAGTAAGTTGATATTAAGATGGTTAAATAATTTAATTTTATAGCTTTTAATTAATATATATTTGAAAGATTGGTAAAATTAGTGCTGCTATTACTACTTCATCAAATATGCAAACACCCATCCAAAGAAAATTAGCTCGACTTGGTATATGGCTTGTCGTGTTAGCTATAATATTATGTGTTCTTGTGGTGGTAATTGGATTGGCATATAAGCGAAATTCAAAAGACATGATATCAATTGGCATGAGGTGAAGTAATTCTTTGTGATTATGTAGAAAACGTCAATTACTGTGGATGGCCAAAAATTCAATGAGCTGACTACTAAACCACGGACTGTTCAGGCAATAAATTAATGCTTTGTCTTGTAATAATTAATAGTTTGGCTGTCTCGGTAATTCCTGAAGGTTTAGTCGCTGTAACTACGGTAACAATGGCTATCGGAGTACGGAGAATGGCTGCTCGTAATGCTATTGTTCGCACATTACCAGCTGTCGAAACCCTCGGAAGCGTGACCGTCATTTGTTCCGACAAAACCGGTACACTTACCGAAGGAAAAATGGGCCCTAGTGAACTTTGGACTGCCGATGATTCTCTCTATTCATTTACTAAACCAACAATATTGGATCCTAATGAAGGCGAGATTGAATTTCTCTCGCCGGAATATCGCAAAAGAATTGCTAAACTGGGTCGAGTTTCAAATCCTAAAGTTTCGAAAATTTTGTTAAAAAAAATTGATGGCGACAATAATAGTGAATCAGCAATAGAACCACAACCTGTGACTCGTGAACTAAATGATGCACCCGCTCATATGGTGACGGCATTAATGATTTCGAGTTTATGTAATAATGCAGCTGTTGTAAAAAGTGAAAGTGAAAAGAAAAGTGAAAGTGAAAAGATAAGCGAAGAAACTTGGAAAAGTATCGGAGATCCTACTGAGGTGTGATTCGTTTTATTCTTAAGGGAAAAAAATTCAATCGACTAAAAACTATATTCGTCATTTTCCTTATAGGTCGCTTTGATACTCGCTGCTCAAAAAGGTGGCTTTTCTAAAGAATTTTGGGAGAAAAAACAAGGATTTACCAAAATTCGTGAACAGCCGTTCGATAGTGAACGTAAACTCATGAGTGTGGTATACAGATTTGACTATTCGAATCTACCTGCAAATTTAAATCAAACTAAAAAATACATAGTGATGGCAAAAGGTGCACCCGAGGAACTTTTACACAAGTGTACAAGTTGCCTTCCGGCTAGTGATTCTTCAAAATCACAAATAACGTTCGAACAAATAATTGGCGAGAAAGAAGGCATTCAAAATGTTCCATTAACTGATGATTTCATTGATAAAGTATCCAAAGAAAGTTCACGAATGGCGTCTAATGGATTGAGAGTTCTCGGGCTAGCATTAAAAACCGTTCGGGTTGACGATGAATCTTTGGAAGCTTCGTCCTCTGAGGAAATTGTTGTTGTCGTTGATGATAATGAATCAGTGGTGGAATCTACGTTAAATCCTGCTTTTGCCGAAAACGAGTTCACCTTTGTAGGGCTGATTGGGCTAATCGATCCTCCAAGAGCAGGGGTAGCAGAATCTGTGCAAAAATGTAAAGATGCGGGTATTCGTGTTATTATGATAACTGGTGATCATATAGCGACAGCTACTGCGATTGCCACTGATATTGGTATATTCGAACCTGGTATAACTGGCATGGTAAATATACTAAAATCTATAATTATACAAAATTCCCATCTTTTCATTAATCATCCTCTATTTATTAAACATGAAGAGTCGGGCTATTAGAGGTGTGGAATTAGATTTACTCTCTGACGATGCAATTGCCGCGCTAGAACCTTTTCCTAATGTATTTGCTCGCGTCAGGTAATTAAATTTGTCCAGTCCTTTTTTTTTATGACGATGACGAAAACCTTTCTGCTATAACTATGAATTATTAATGATATTCTATTCAAGTCTCTGAGTATAAACAATGACAAAAATGTTAATATGATAAATGTTAATTTGACAATTAACTATAAATTCTTCTATTTATAAAAATAGTCCAAATAATAAACTCAAAATTGTAAAGGCGCTACAAGACCTTGGCAATTCGGTGGCTATGACTGGAGATGGCGTTAATGGTAACTGAATAAAGTCGTCTTATCTACTAAAGTAAGTTGCAAAATTTTGACTGCTCATATTTAAATATCAATTATAGATGCACCTGCAATAAAAACTGCCAATATTGGTGTAGCCATGGGCATAAGTGGAACCGAAATCACTAAACAGGCAGCCGATATAATTCTCACCAACGATGATTTTTCAACAATTGTGACCGCGGTCGAAATTGGTCGTCAAGTGTTTGATAATATTTTGAAATTCATCGTGTATCTTTTGGGTTGTAATGGCGCCGAAATTATTATATTTTTGCTTTCGGCGTCGATTAATGATGATTTACCTTTTACGACAATTATGATTTTATGGGCGAATATTATCGGTAAATAATAAAGATCGTTTGGTTTTTTCATTTCGAGTAATGTTCGAGTGTTATCAACATTGATCGATTATTGTTATGTTTTTACTAATTATAAAAATAGCTGATGTTCCACCAGCCATGTCTCTTGGGGTGGAACCCGGTGAAAAAGATATAATGCGACGTCTTCCTCGGAATCCAAAAGCAGGTGTATTAGACAAAATTGCCATTGTAACACTCACCACGCAATCATTCGTCATGGCGTTGTCATCTTTTGGGATCTATCAAATTGCACTAAAAATTGAAAATAAAAATTTAGAAGATGCGCGATCTTTGGCTTTCGCGACTTTGACTACTTTGCAGCTCCTACAAGGGTTTTTGTCTAGGACATTAAATATTAGTGTTTTCAAGATGGGATTTTTCGGTAATAAGGTTGTTATTTTGTTTTATTACTCATTTATTTTTTTATCACCATTGTCATTATAATTTTTGCTTAAAAATTTGTTTATGATTTCAGTGGATGATTGTCAGTATCCTTGGTTCTTTCATAGCAATGTTAATCGGTATTTATGTACCAGGTAATTTTATCTACACATAATATAAAGTGATGATGTTCTACATTTACCAAAATAAATCCGCTATAAAAATATCCTCAAAATTTCCTTAAGAGTAATTGAATCACTAACAGCTTACACAAATACCCTTCTTTATTTGAAGGAATACGTGATTGGCTCGAACTCACTCCTGTTCCTGGATTCGGATGGCTGAAAATCATCATCTGTTGTATGGTTTTGATTTTGTCTAGTGAGCTTACCAAGTGGTATGGTCGTCATGTTCGAAATTTGGCTGCTAAAGCAAATTAGCAAAAATAAAAAGTGAAGAGAGTGAGAGTGAGAGTAAGAGTGAATACTTGTTATTTATTTATTATAATTATTGGATTTATTATCTTTAGAAAATAATTACATTATTAATAGCATTGAGATAATTAATTATATGAAACTTATTTTCAGTCAAATAAAATTTTCCTAAAACTAAAGTTTTGCAGATACGTCAAAATATATTCATTATATAAAGCTATAATGAGTTAAAAGAGAAATATAGAATTTAAATGATCAATCAAAATCTGGCTGGAATACAATATCAAAGAAAATGAAAGCTGAAAAAAAGATATAATTATAAATGAAATATAACAGCGCACAAGATAAATATTAATATGAATACCGTTGAATGACATTTGCATAAAAATAATAACAGATATATTAAGTAAATTATCAAATCTTTATTTATAAATATTCATAAAAAATAGTTATAATAAGTGAAAATTATATAAATTTCAATTGAAACAAGTAATTTTTTCAGATGAAAGTATATTTTGATTAAATATTTTTAATTACAAGAAAATATTATATTATGTAAAATAAAATCTATTTGAACTCTTATATTTGATATTGAAATTTTTAATAAAATAATAAAACTTGAAATTATTATTAATAAATATAAAATAGATATAATTTATATATATTTTTTATAATTAATTAATATTTTATAAGATAATTTAATTTTGAATTATATATAATTTATATATAGAATTAAATTTTTATTAATTTATTTATTTCTTAAAAATAATAAATAATGCAAAAATCAAATATTATAAAAACTACTCATAATCAAAAAATTATAACTAACTTTTTTTTAATTAATAAGAATTTTATTTAAATAAATATTATATATTTTAATTATATAAATAATATATTAATAATCAGTATTAGACTTTCTAATAATAAATTTACAAGATTTTTAAAATTTTAAAAAATTTTCTTTTAATAAATATATAAAAAATATTACAAAAAAATATTTATATAAATATTCATTAATTCTAATAAAAAAAATAGTTATTTATTAATAATATAATTTATGAAATAAGAATTCAAAAAATATATATTTTATAAAGAAAATTTACTCTAAATATACTTATAAATAATAATAAAATAAATTTTATAAAATATAATTTTTTAATAAAAACAAAAGTTTCTCTATTAAAAACAAGATTTTTTTATTAAAAACTATAATATTTATTAAAAAATAATTTTAAAGACTTATATATATTTTAATAATAAAAGTAATTACTTATCAAGAAAGAAAGTATTAATAAATTTATTTTGAAATTAAAAATTAAAATGAATTAAAATTTTAAATCTATATAGAAAAAAGTATTTACTTAAACTATAAATAAAATATATAATAATTTAAAGCAATAAATATATGAATATTTATATTATTTAACAAGTTAATTTAATATTATAAGCATCTGATTCATAAAAAAAAAGAATTTTTAATCAGTTTTACAATCTTTTTTTTTGAAGAATTTATTAAAGAAATTTGATTTTTACTTAATAAATTAATTAATATAATCAAAAAAATACTTATTATTTTGAAAAAATAAAATATAAAAAATTAATAAACTTTAAAAAATACTTTAATTTTAAATCAAAAATTTTTCAGATATGATATATCAATCTTAGTCACATCAAATACTTTAAATTACAAAGATTTTATATTTAAATATTTAATTATAAAAAAAATACATTATTAAATAGTTTTTGATAAGCTTTATAATCTAATATATTTTTTTTAAAGTTTAATAATAATTTAGTGAGCAGTTAGAATTTTTCAAGAGTTATTTTTATAGTAATAAACTGGCTAAGTCAGAATTTCAGTAATCAAAATAATCATATAAGTGATTACTTATTAATTTATTTTATAATATGTGAATAGTAACTTAATTTATTTTTAACATATAATCAATCAAAGTATAATGAATAAGAAGAATGATAAAATCAATGATCTAAAGCTCTATAATAAGAGTTTAAAAATCTTTTTTAAGTTTGTCCAACTTCATTTTACTTAATATATAATATGACTCTCTAATTCATTATAAATGATCAAACTTTTCTAGTATACTTATTGGAATCTGATGATAAAATTAATATTTTCTTACTATAAAGATCATAGTCTTATTAGAATGATCATACTCATATATCAAGCAGATTAATATATAAAATAATAAATTTTAATTAAAGTAACAGATTTTAATACATATAAAATAATGTTTTTAAGATCTTGAAAGATATAATTATAATATAATTATAAGTATTACTTTGCTTTTTCTCAGAATAACTCAATAAAATTGAGTTTATAATAAAACTTTGAATAATATATATATATATATAACCAGCTGCTTTAATAGTTTTCTATAAGTAATTTTTCTATAATATAAAATTAACTAACAATTAAGAATTTACATTATATAATATTTTAGATTTGCTAGATCAGAGATATATGATTTATATACATTATATTATCTTTTCAAATCTTGTATTTATAATTTACATTCTTAAAGAATTTATCAGATACCCTTTGATTTTGTTATATTATTAATATTTATGAATATTAAAATATAAGAAGAACTATCAGGTATCTAATTATCATAAAAAAGTGATTGCTTATCTCCATTCTTTAAATTTATATATAAAATTATCAGAATATTATTGTAAGATTATTTTATTAATGGTTATAAACAAGATAAAATGCGATATGAATAAGTTTTAATTTTATAACTTA